ATAATTACATATTTAAAAAACAAGCCAAATATTTCTCACGTCATTTTCCCTTTAAGATACTGACAAGTTGAATAATCTAAAATTAAATGCTCAATTGATCATGCTGATGATAAGCAGATTAAAATTGTTTTTCACATGGGAATATTGATGTAATACTCCACAGATTTTCTGGACCTTGTACTCCCATACTTTGAAGATCAATTTTCTGTTTTTGACAGTATTTTGTAGGCCCAGTATTCAAACATTCGCATTTTCTTTGTACCTTTTTAAAAATTGATGCAATTTTATTTTGTCTGCCTAAAAATAAATAATTTGTCTCTTTCCAGGGCTTCATCCATCACCTCTTACTCAGTGACTTCCAAACATTGATCTCTAAATCCACCTTTCTACCTGTTATACGTATTACGTATATGTGTTACATATAATGTTTTGTTACATATACCCGATGGCCTCTTGTTAGAGTGTATCAAACGTATTTTCTTCCCTCCCATTGCCAGTGGAGCACAAGTTTGGCAAATCTTTCTTGAGTCAAAAAAGCTTTAAGTATGGTACCTGTGACAGACTCTCTGTTGTCCAAGAACTGGCTTAGCATAATTCAGGAGGCTCAAAACCAGAAAACTGGTCACCAGTTGATGGGATTTTGTTTGTTTTGTAGCCACTGCAGTTCATAAAGACCATCTGTTAAGTTGTAGAAAGGCAGGTTGCAGTAGGTTCTGTGGAGGGAGTTTTCTCACTGACTGAAATCATAGGCCCTTGAAGCGCTGAAGTAAGTTAAATACATTCTCATTTGATCCTTACAACAACTCTGAAGCATAGGTAGTGTAGATTTTATCTCCTCCTATTTTATATATAAGGAAGCAAAAAAAAAAAAAACTTACCCAAGATCAAAGAGTTAATGTTAGAAAAGGGACTCAAACTGAGGTCTTCCTGGCTCAAAATCCAGTGTTCTTTCCACCGAACCACATAATCAAAGGTATGTGAGACAGACTGTGAGTTTAGGGGGACTATAGAGAATATAATTTCAGTAGAATTCCAAAGAGTTAGAGAAGGCTTCCTGAAGAAACAAACACAGCATATAGAAATTATTTTAGACACCTAAGTGAGGAGAGGCAACATACGTAGGGCAAGTGTTCCCTGATGGCATGTGCCATCCTGATAGTACATAACCCCAGACCATGGACCATTGTTGCATCTTGAAGCAGTAGTGTAGAATTAGGATCTTAAGCAATAGCAGTAGGGGGCTTGTGGCCCAGTAAATAGAGCTCTGGGCCTGGAATCAAGACCTGAGTTCAAATTTGGCTCAGACACTTATTAGCTATGTGACCCTGGGCAAGTCTGTTTGTCTCAGTTTCCTCATCTGTAAAATGGAGATAGTAATAGCACGCATCTCCCAGAATTATTGTGAGGATCAAATGAAATAATAATTGTAAAGTGCTTAGTACAATGCCTATTACATAGTAAGTGCTATGTAAATGTTAGCTGTTATTATTAATAGCCAGCCAATCAGCAAGCATTTAAGTACATACTTCGTACCAGACACTATGCTAGGTGCTAAGGATAGAAGGACAAATAGAACAATGCCTGTTTGAAGGAGTTTACATTCTATTGAGAGAAACAACATGTACATATATGAATATATAGAATAAAAACAAAATACATGCAAAGTAATTTTGAGGTGGACAGCAGCAACTGAAGGAGAAATCATCTAACTTTAGTTTCCTCATTTGTAAAATGAGGGAATTGGATTAAATGGTCTTTCAGGTCATATCTAGATCTATCTGTCTTGTATAATAATAGTTTTCAGAGAGCTCATACATACAATGTCTCATTTGAGCCTCATAATAGCCATGTAAGGGGGTCAGGGCAGGTCACTGTATCCCTGTTTTTACTGAGAAAAGTGAATTTTAGAGCAAGTAAGTAGCTAGAAAAGTAGAAGATCTGGGACTAGAACCCAAGTATTCTGATTACTGTTGCACCATTGCTTTTTCTATTCAGTAACTTGGATTTATATAATTCTTTAAGTTTTATAAACACTTTATCCTGTGAAGTAGAGAATGAATACTTTTTTTTTTCTTTTTGAAGGTGAATGGGCTCAGAGCTATACCCAAGGTCACACAGAAGGATTTGAAGGCAAAAAAAGGCCCTCTGATTGTTCTACTGTTGCATCTTCCCTCAGTTTCCTCTTGCAGTTGAATATGCATCCTTAATCTGACTCTAACAAAGGTTTCCAGACCAGCTCAAGTGATATTCTATAGCCAAGAGTCTTCTGCTATTAAGAATATTTAAATCAGGTCAATGCTCCATCCAACCTAGTATTCTGAGGTAACATGGGGTAGTGAAAAATACATTTACTTAGAGATCAGAGAGAGCTAATTTGAATCCCATCTCTACCTAACCACCTCACTAGCTGTTGTTAGGAGGATCAAATGAGATAATGTATATAAAACACTTTGCAAACCTTAATTTTCTCATAATTGATTGAAAGATGTAGAGAAAATCCAGCTGTGCTTACAATTTGTTGATTACAAAAAATACATTTGACTCATAACAAAATGCCTCTCCAGTGGTTCTCCAGAAAATTATCTCTATCTATACATATGTTAAGATTGTGGAAGATTACTTGATAGATATAACCACAGAATTTTGCACAGTCATCTTTGCATTATCAAATGTCAAATGAGAGAGTATCGAAAAAGGAGACATACAACAAAAATGTTCTCTATTGTCATGTATGGACCCAGCCTTAAGTAGGGAGAGAGTGGGCTGGATTGCGTTTGGGAAATTGCACAGTCAGCTAACCATACACACACGCGCGTGCGCACACCCACACACACACACACACACACACACACATATACATATATCAGCATTGTGCTAGGACCTGGGTCTGAAAATGAAAAGTGAAAGAATGTTTCCGCGTGAAGAGTTTACATTTTACTTACAGTGATCCCATGTTTCTTGACACAAAATCTCACAGATTTAGCAAAGTATCAAAGTATAATTTTTGTAGCAACACCAAGACATGATTTGTGGAAGCATTTGGTTGACTTCTATGAGATTAATATCAAAAAGTTAATGAAGTGCTCCTAAATATATCCTTTCCTACCTTGGCTTCCTGACACTGGCTTTCCTGATTTGTTTTTTTTCCTCCTATTTATCATAATTACTCTATGTCAACTTCTTAGGTATTTGCATATTCTCATTTTCCTCACTTATATTTTTAAAGTTGTAAAGCTTAATAACTTTTAAATACTCTAGGTGGAATTAAATTTCTAGTTTAGAAGCAAAGCTTGTCCACTGCCAATAAAGAACACAGTATTATTCCTTGCTGGGATGAAAAAAAAGTTTTAGTGATTTTTATATTCAAAATGATTTGCATTCAAAGCCACATACTGGAACTGTGTAACTAGATATTCCTATATAAACTTATTTTTGTTATTCTAGTGCACTTATCTCAGTAAAATTGGAGAGTAGAGTTCACTCTGAACAGGCTATGAATCATTTAAGATTTTTGACCTCACCAAAAAAAAATTGCAAAGTCATGGAAAAAAATAAAGAAAATAGGGCTTATTGAATTGTTTTCAAAACTAGAAATTATATTTTAGTGTTAAGATTTTAGATTTTTTTTTTTGGTAATGGTGAAAAAGTAATGTTTTAAATTTAAAGAAATAAATGTGATTGTATACATATGATTTGTTGCTGAGATTTTAAGTGAAATCTTTTAACTTTTTGTTTTAAACTAGAGAGATAACTGAGATGATAATGTATACTTTGATGTCTTAAAAGCAGATGTTTAATGGAGCTCTGTTATAACCAAAGCTTAACTAGCTTTTGCTCTGTGAATGAAAAATATTTTTAATGTATTTCTTGATCTCCAAAGTGGTAAAGAGCTTGTGAAGCTAATTCTTTAATGATGGTCAGGTTTTCCAAGTACCAGTTTATAAAATGAAATAGTAGTTTCAAAATTTTAAAGTATTTTCAGCCCCAGGAATTGCTTTTTTTTTTTTTAAACAAAATGTACTCTTGAATTTTTCCAGGAAATATTCATTCAAAATATAGTATTAAATGTATTCAAAGAGGTATATACACTCTCTCAATGAATCCAGCATAACATCTCCAAGTTTTTTTCCTGTGCTTAGTTGACATGCTATACTGATTACATAATAGAAAGCTCTATTCCTAAGTTTTTTTTTTCAGCTATCTTATCTAAAGGCAAGTATGTTTTAATTATCATGACAGTCAAAACAAATTAAAAGGTTTGTGTGTCAAGAAAACATTTTGTTCAAATAGATCCTATTTATAATGCATGGAGCATGTGAAGATTTGAGAATTGAAACTTTAAAAGAAGACAAAATGGTAATAAATTCAAAATAACCCATTCTAAGTTTGAGTTGTATAAATATGTTTTGGTACTAGTTGCAGTGTTTCCAAGGGACTTAAAGAATTTCTAAATGGAGGGGAAATTTCAAAATTTAATTCCCTTCTGAAAATCAAAGGAATATTATAAATCATTTTTGAAACAAGATATATTTATGTAATCTGGAATTATTGTTGGCTTTTCAGAGAATCATGCCATTTCCAATGCCACACAAAGGGCATATTACAAGTAAGACTTTAACATTGGGCTGAGACTATATCTTTTTCTTATAGTATTTACTACAATGACATTTCTATATAATTAGTGTTAATGGCCTAAGAGAAATAAGTCCTTTATCTGCTTAGATTTCTTTTTTATAGAATAATACTTTTTATTATGTGTACTCTTAGATATATATAAAGAGCTTCTCTATACGCAAATATGGTGATTTGTACATACATTTTAATTTGGTTAAAAACATTAATACAGTATCAGCAATCTCTCTACTTCTACATAATTTCTGGTTTTGACTAATAGTATTTTTTTTTCCCCTCAGTAAAACATTGGTCCTTTTAAAAGTGTGAGAAGTTGTGTTCATACACTATAACATGTATGTTTTGCTTTTTCTTTTTACACTTTTCAGATGGCCTTCTCATTGTTGGTGTTCATTCAGCTAAATTTCCAAATGAAAAGGTTCTGGATAACATTAAAAGTGCTGTTCTTCGCTATAACATCACCCATCCTGTGGTTAATGATGCCAATGCTTTCCTTTGGCAAGATCTGGAAGTTTCCTGTTGGCCAACCCTGGTCATACTTGGACCCCGTGGAAACATCCTTTTTTCTTTGGTTGGAGAGGGGCACAGAGAAAAATTGTTTTTATTTACTTCAATGGCTTTAAAGTACTACAAAGAAAGAGGACAGATTAAAGATAATAAAATTGGAATAAAACTTTATAGAGATTCTTTGCCACCTTCTCCTTTACTTTTTCCTGGCAAAGTAACAGTAGACAATGTGGCTGAGAGGTTAGTGATAGCAGACACTGGACATCACAGAATTTTGGTTGTCAGAAAAAATGGACAAATCCAACACAGCATTGGAGGTAAAATCTGCTTAAAATATATGTGTAATATACATTTTATTATGCAAATTATGAAAGTGAGGTGATTGAAAGTGAAAATTATGAATAAACAAAAATTCCTGGGCATTGTAATAAAATAATTTTAGCTTCTGTCACATGAAATTAATCCAGTGTATCATGAGCTTAAATGAAGGTGGTGAATACCTTGCTGCAGCATCAGTGTGGTGGAATCATGGTTGGTAATTATAAAACATATTTACATTTTAAATTCACTCATAATTTTGTCCCTGAAAAATACAATGATAACATGGTTGCCAAAACTAGTTTTGTTTATTTATAGAAATACGTAGGAGCAACTAAGTGGCGCAGTGGATAGAGCACCAGCCATGGAGTCAGGAAGACCTGAGTTCAGATCTGGTCTCAGACACTAGCTGTATAACCCTGGGCAAGTCATTTAACCCTGATTGCCTCTCTGCCTTCCCAGAAGAGATATAAATAATATAAACGTAGAGATTATTTCACTTTTCTATTAAAATAACTTTTATCTTGTTAAAACAATTATAATGAAATCTGGAATGTTATATTTAGATTATAAGGTGTGGAAGTCTAATTTGTTTAAAAGCTAAGAAGAAATTATTACGAAGTAAAACCCAAATTTTAATTTATATAGCATTTCAGTGCTTAATAGCTTATACGATTTTTGTGAAATGTAAGTTTTACTTATTTTCCATCAGAAAACTATCATGGTGCATTGGAAAAGCCATGTCAGTTCAAATCCCTTCTCCGACCCTTAGAACCTTTGTGACTTTGAGCAAATCACTTAATCTCCCTTGGCCTCAGTTTCCTCATGTGTAAAAGAAATTGAGGTTGGAGTAGATGGCCTCTGAAGTCCCCTCCACCTCTGAATTTCTGCCTCTTTTATCCTAAAACCTCTGGCACATTGTAAATAAAGAGTATTCATTTTGCCTTTACAAACAAGCATCAAGATAGCATAAACCATTTTCTTGAATAACTCTGTGGTTTCTGGACTAATGAGTACCACCTGGTTAGCCTACTTTTTAAATAAGATCTATTAAGACATTGTAAAGACAAACAACTTTGAAAGATTTAAGAATTCTGAGCAATACAATGTCAAATTGTGATTCCAAAAGACTTACGATGAAACATGCTGGCCATCTCCTGACAGAAATGATGGACTTCAGGTACAGATTGAGACATATTTTGGATGTGGCCAATGTGGAAATTTATTTGCCTTTACTATGCGTATTTGTTGCAAAGGTTTGGTTTTGGAGCATGAGGGAAGAGAACAAGCATTTACTAAACACTTGCCATGTACTAGGCACTGTACTAAGTATTTTACAAATAATATTTTATCTTCGGGGACAGCTAGGTGGCGCAGTGGATAGAGCAACGGCCCTGAAGTCAGGAGGACCTGAGTTCAAATCCGGCCTCAGACCAAACACTTGATACTTACTAGCTGTGTGACCCTGGGCAAGTCACTTAACCCCAATTGCCTTTAAAAAAATGTTTTTTTTAAATAATATTTTATCTTCACCACAACCCTGTGAGATAAGGGCTATTTCTATCTCTGTTTTACGGTTGAAGAAATTCAGGCAAACCAAGATTAAGCAATTTTCCCAGAGTCACAAAACTAGTAAGTATCCGAGGCTAGATTTGAATTCAGGTCTTCCTGACTCCAGGCCCAGTACTGTATCTACTGTGCCATCTAGATTTTTCAGTGGTGGGGCAGAAGGTAGAAGAGAGATAAAATACATTTTTGTTAATTGAAAATTAAATTTTAAAATATAAAAGTTGGGCTTACCAATTTCAGCTAACGCATTACTTTCTACAAGAGGCCTTTCATCATCCTTCCAGGTACAAGTGCCTCCCTCTCCCCATTACCTTGTCTTTATTTGTATATGTTTTTTATTTATTTAAGTATATGCTATCTCCCTTGATAAAATGTAAACTGTCAGGGCGGAGGCTATATAAGTGCTGTCTTTGTATCCCTAGCACTCTATTAAAGTACTATTTTATCTTGTTAGAAAGTTACAATGGGGGGCAGCTAGGTGGGCGCAGTGGATAGAGCACCAGCGCTGAAGTCAGGAGGACCAGAGTTCAAATCCAACCTCAGACCAAACACTTGACACTAAAAAAAAAAAAAGTTATAATGGAATCTGGAACTTCATATTTAGATTATAAGGTGTGGAAAATCTAAATTAACAGTATCTTGCACATAGTAAGTGCTTAATAAATGCTTGATTGTTATTTTTGTTTACTCCTTTAACAAGACTGAATTCTGTCAAAACTTTTCCATTGTCGCTAATAAATTAACAAAGCACTTGCATTTGCTACTTTTATACATTTGTCAACTGTTTGATACAATTAAGCTATTAAAGATTTGTAGCAAATATTTTTATCCATTCCATGGTAATTTTGTTATAAAAATATAATATCATTATTTTGGTCATTTCTTTTTTTTTAGTCTCAATTCATAGTATACACAGGCAGAGATTAATAATTCCAGTTGAACTATAACTCCTTAGAATTGCTTAATATTCAAAATAGTAATATCTGCTCCATAATTTGAATCTGAAAGTTTCAAAACAAGTTTTCAAAATGTATTACATAGTGCCCAGAATATTTATGTGAAAATTAGGGACCTATTGTTAAGCAGAGAAAATGATCCCATATAAGCCTGAAATCATTTATTCCATGATCCCAGAGTATCAATGTCATCCATAGAACACAGTAGTCAGTGCAGAAGCCCAGAGGAAGAATTAGGACCATGAGAACAGAACCATTTGCCCTGTGATCTTGAGATGGTTCTCTTCCATTCATTTTTTTTTCTTCTTCAAATTCAGAATCCCTTCTTATCATAAGCAAAGCAAGAAGTAGTTTTCATCATTTTCGGGCTTATTCTTTTACTTCATAAGAACTAAGATTGATAGGTACCTTGATAATGTGTTCGTAATCTAAGACAATAAGAAGAAAACTCAGGAATACTTACAAAAGATTTTATTTAAAAGTTCCTTGAGGGGGAACTTACTATGTTTTATCACAGTCAGGAAAAAGATAGCTTTCATTATTTTTTTTTAAAACCTTGATTTAAGAGGAAATGACATTTAGAAATAAGATAAAGTAACTTGGATACTTCATAAACCATAAAGCTTTCTATGAAAATGAGCAGCAATAAGTAATAAGCAAAATCTGTTCTTGATTTATAGCAGAACAAAAGGTGGTTGAAAATATCATTGAACTCAAATTCCTTTTATTTATTATTTATTATATTTGTTGTTTGTTAAAAATGAAAAGCTAATTTATGATAATGATGTACATTACAATTTTAATTTTAAAAAGAGAAATGGATAAAACAGAAAATTATCTTTTTTTTTACTATTTATTTGGGTAATTAACTTTTTTAAATAGCTCAAACCATTGACAGTTGTGTTGATTTAGTCTTCCAACAATGAAAATTACAATTTTTCCATACTTTAGTATACAGTTTTTTTGAGTTTCTGTGGCAAATGATATTTATCATTTGGTGATGGTTCTCTCCATCTTAGCAAGGCTGGATCCTGGGACTATATTTGTTGTTCTGCTGCTCTTTAGAGCTTCCACAGTTTAATAAGACCTGCCAAAACTTGTACTATGTTGGCATGGCCTTTTGAAATTCAGGATCACCTCCTCACCATAATCTGACAAAGAAATAGAACTTTTGTGAAGTGGGAAAGGGGTGTATATAGAAAAGAATATACTTAAATTGCTTTTTTAGCACTGTATAGCAAAATCTAATAGCCTGAGTCTATACTGAGACTACCTTTCAGTAGTTAGTAGATAATTAGATTTTAAGGCACCAGTACACAATTAAGACCACTTAAAATTTATCATGTTGTACTTAAGTGTACATCATTATTAAGACAATTTTGAGAAATGTAGAAATGTTACTCACAAGTATGTTCTAATCTCCCAATTTTTAAAAAAAACACTATTTTCCTTTCCTGGTCATGTTTTGAGTAGAAAGATTTTATTAACTGGCTTATTTTCTATTTAGGTCCCAATAGTGGAAGAAAAGATGGGACATTTTTAGAGTCAACTTTCAATTCTCCACAAGGTGTTGCCATAAAGAACAACATCATATATGTAGCAGATACAGAAAATCACTTGATAAGAAAGGTAATTTTTCAGTTTTTTAATTATTACATACCAGTTTAAATATTCTTAATTATAAACATACCTTGTTTTCTGCTTGCTGCTTTACTATTTGAAATTAGAGGAAATGATTATGAATTTTAAACGTGTCCATGTCAGTCCCATCTGTGAGAAAATAATTCCACTGTATTGTAACCTATTCAGGCTTTATCTGGATTGTGTTCACTTCAAGTCTCCCCATTTTAAGAGGGACATTGACAAAGATCTCCTAGCCATGTCACGAGGAACAATTGAATGATTTTAGCCTAGAAAAGAGAAGGCTTGGGGAGGATAGGATTTGAATAAGATGTTAGAACTATTTTATGTAATTTTAGAAAGCCATATTAGGACTAATGAAGATGGTTGGAGCCAGGATGGTAGAGTAGCAGAAAGAAGTATAGCCTAGCTCCTACAGCATACCTTCTCCAAAAAGATCTAGAAAACATGTTAGAAGTCCTGACCAAAAAAATCTAAGAAAAAATTAGAATGAGTCATTTTTCAAGCTCAGATTCACTTAGGGGGGCCAAGAGATCCTATGGACATGGGATGGAGGTTCATCCAGAACCATGTAGACCATTCCAGTGCTCAGGAACTGAAAGAGGACAAGGCTATGCACCAGGGCTAGACAAGGTCCCAGACTCGCAACCTTGACTTCATGTAGGAACAAGTGCAAATTGGCAGCTCAGTTACTAACTACCCAGTTCCAGGCCAGAGATCCAGGGCAGAACTAGGAGTCACATTCCAGGCAGGGAGTGGTCACAGCTCCTAGGGAGGAACAAGTGTAGAAATGAACAGCAACTATGTGGCTCTGACCCGAAGAAGAGTGAGGAGTCCCTGCTTGGAAATTCCAGAAGACAGCTGTTGAACTCAGCCACCTCAACCAGCTGAGAGGCTCTACAGTTTTAGAGCAGTAGAACTTCAGGCTCCTTTTGGGTCTGGAAATCCTGCCCTGCTTATTCCAATAGGGCATAGAGTAGATGCTTATTACTTGCTTGTATTTTGCTTGATTAAACACAAAACTTTTAGGGTTCAGTTACTATAATAAGATGTCCATTCAGTATTCCCTGGACAAAGATCTCACATTTAGAATATCAATAGTTAATATTTATAGGGAGGCTAAAACTTTGCAATATTTAGCATCTTCTGCCCCATTTTCTTTCCTCGGTCACCATTACTGCAGAAGTGGAAAGGTGTTACAGAGGCTTAACGGCCATTTTGAATTTTTTTTTTTCATTTTTGCCACAGCCAAACAACTCACCAAGTGGTCAACCTATTGGTAATGATCCTGTCCCCATTTAACTATTCTAGTCTTTGGAAAGCAGGCACAGTCTGTTTCTAGGACCATACCCTAAGCCTTTTGAACACAGCAGAATCTACTAGGTTTTGTGCTGTGCTTTAAGAACTTAGAATTCCTGATTCACTGCCATGCCATATAGGGCTTAAGAGCAGGACTTTGTCGAATCTGACTTTCAGGGTCTCGAATATCTGTAGTTTTTTAAGGAATTAAGTGTGAACTCATAAGACTTTCCTTTTCAAAGTCTCTACATAGATCATTTCTGTTTTAGAACTAATAGTTGCTACACCATTAATCATATGTCTATATACCACTTGATGTTGAAGAACAAGTTAATAGAACAGTGATGACAAGTTATAGTTTTTTGATGGCCTTTCCTATACTCTGAATTGGTTTAGAAACTATAAAAAATAAAAATAAAAGGAAAAGCATTATTATTCCTTCAATCAAGAGATATTTCCAAGTTCATCCTAGTTTCCTTTTATTATCCCCATAAGCGTTTAAGAAGAAAATTAAAAAACTTTAAAAAAAGCTCAGAAAAAGAAACTAGGAAATAAGCTTTTTTGTAACATAGAATATTGAATTTATATTTTAAGAAATAAAATGAAATTGATAATTACATGCTTCCTGAATAGAATTAATTACATATATTTCAATGTGTAATGGTCTTTAATAGGTACTAAGTGTTTTAATTTAAAATAAGTTTTTAAATCTTAATTTCTTCTCAAATGTTGGTGCCTTAGAGCATCCTTAAACTTTTTTGTGTCATGAATTCCTTTGGTAATCTGGTGAAGCCTATGGACTCCTTAGAATAATGTTTTTAAAGCGTAATATAAAATAATATGATTGCAAAGGAAACCAATTATATTGAAGTACAGTTATCAAAATATTTTTTTTTTAAAAATCCATGGACCCCAGATTAAGAACATCTGCCTTTGATGATGTGAAGACCTATTATTTGAGGGCAGCTAGGTGGCACAGTAGATAGAGCACCAGCCCTGGATTCAGGAGGACCTGAGTTCAAGTTCAGTCTCAGACACATAACACTTACTAGCTATATAACCGTGGGCAAGTCATTTAACCCCATTGCCTAGCCAAAAAAAAAAAAAAAAAGAAGAAGATCCATTATTTGAGTAATGGGAGGGGGGGACAGAAGAAATACAAAGCATTTGTGGAGCATATAAATCTTAGTCAAGCAATAGGAGCCTCATAGCTATACATACATACATATATATACATATACATATATATATAAAAGCAAGCATTTATTAAGTGTCTACTATGTGTCAGGCACTGTGCTGAGTACTTTACAGTTATATCATTTGATCCTTACCACAACTCTGTGAGATAGGTGCCCTTAAGATCCCCATTTTGCAGTTAAGGCAACTGAGGCAGACAGAGGTTAAGTGATGCCTAGCTCACACAGTTTGTAAGTATCTGAGAATGTATTTGAACTCAGGTCTTCTTGATTCCATGCCCAACATTCTAATCCACTGTACCACCTAGATGCTTGTATATAACACTGAGAGTACTATTCTGTCTATATATTTTATTGAGATTCTCATCATCCAGGAAAGATGGAGACTATCATAAACCATGTTAATCACAGACTTAATTTTTTTAGATTGATCTAGAAACTGAAATGGTGAGCACTGTGGCTGGCATTGGAATACAAGGCACAGACAAAGAAGGTGGAGCAAAAGGAGAGGAACAGCCCATCAGTTCACCTTGGGATGTAGTTTTTGGAACATCAGGTACATTTTTCATATTTTGAATATTATTTTCTATGAAAGTCTACTTCAATACATAAAAAAGAAATTGTATTTTTTGTTGTAATAATATTTTTCCAATACTTTTTTAATTCTCCAGAGTAATGTGAAAATGGACTATCATTCATATTTGGATTGTTTAAAATTTTAAAACAAATTAAAGGGATGTCCATTTCTAAGTGACTGTTCACTTAATATGTATGATGTCATTATAATTGGACTTCAAAGAGAAATTTGACTTTTTACACATGGTGATTTTTTTTTGTTGTAGTAGCCATCTCGTCCATGATCTTTTCTTTATCTTTAAAAGTATATCAGCATTTTACTGAACTCTAAAAATATTTTGTAACTACAAGTTGACTGTCTTATTGAATCTTTGCCAGATTTTAAAAATGTGTATTTAGTCTGCACCAGTTTCAGCTTGTACAGTGGATATTAACCTGAGAGATTCATATCCTACAGGTCAACAACCATCTTTGGATGGCTTTTACTATTGCCTGAATTTTAACCTGTTATGGAGGATGATGTACACATGTTCCATTAACCTTTCTTGACCCCTTAATCAGTATTGTCTTCAGAGAGAAGGTTAAATGAACTTGTATGACCTTTAATGGTTGAGTTTCAACCATTTTAGTGTACAATTTAGATAATCTACAGTATGTGAGGTTATCTGCTTAGATAATATGCTGTTACAATTCGTCATTACTATTAATGTACTATAAAATGTCCAATGTAATATACTTATTCTTTGAAGTTATCTAGATAATGTAGATTTTTCTGTGAGAATAAATGTAATGCTATGAAATAAATATATTTCATTATCTGTTGAGTAAAAATTATAAGAGATTTAGTATTTCATGCTTAAGCTTTGAGAAAAACTCTTATTGTCACTAAGCTATCCCTTCAAGTTAGAGAAAAATACTAGTAAAATAAAATAAAATAAAATTTGAGTTCACGAACACAGATTGAGATCCCTAGTAACAATCAGTTTTTAGGCAAAAATTTTCTAGATGGTCATTGACATAAAGTTTGAGGTATCAATAAAAGTATATATTTTTGCTACAGATTAATATGTTCTTGCTTTTTTATTGGAGCTAATTAAAAGAGCTTTGTAAATCATAAAGTATTAAAAATCATTTCAAGTAACTGCCTTAATTGAAAAAATCAACACACTAAATATATGTATTTGTTCAAGATCCCGACCGATCTACTTTTTTTTCCTTTGGAAATTAGCATAGGAACCCATAAGACTTGTCAGTAATGGAGGTAGGGGTTGAAAAAGTAAAGGATTAGCTGGGAACATCTGTCAATTCCTGTAAACACAGAGACATAATAGTACATTCAGACCTAGACTGTGGTGGATAGCTCATTGCAGGAACCTGTCTGAGCTCCTATTGCCAGGGAAACATTATATTGTCCCAGAAATATTTACCTATTTCAAAATGCATTCCGGGAAATTCTCTGTGCTTGTCAGTCCTTCACCAGTGTCAATTATATGTCTTTGTGATATAGGGTAATTCTTTCTTTCAGAAAGAAATGGTGATAAATAGCTAATCAATATTTTACTGTTACCTGCTATTCCTTATGCCATTTCACAGTTTGTAGTACTACCATCATATTTTGAAAAGCTTCTTGTATGCTGAATAGGAAATTATATATCCTTAGTTTGCAAAAATAATAAAATGTGCATTAAAAAAACATAACTTTTATGTTCAGAGAGGTCAGGGAAAAAAAACAGTCTGTGTGAATGAATTAAAAAAATTTTCTGCTTTCTAGATTTTCTGATATTTCAGGGAAGAGTTAAATAAAAAGGGTTCAGTACATAAGCCCAAAATATATCAACTTTTTTAAGTATTGGACTTCTGTTTTTTAGGTATTTTTAATCCATTGATGTTTATCTTCTTTGTAAGCTGTCCTATTTCATAAATAGTTTATTAGCATTTGTCAATAATAAAATGAAAAGTTGTGAATGATAACTGTTAGTTTTGAATGTTAAGTACAAATTAATGCTACTGGATTAACGTACTAGATTAAAGAGCTTGGGAAAGTTTGCTTTGGATCAGAACAGTCTTAATCCATGTAACATTTATGATAGTTCTGATAGCACGGATTATTTGGATCTCAATAGCTTCAAATAATCAAAGGACAAAGTAAGAGAAAGAATTTTATGAATTTTGAAGGAAAAGTTAAAAGTTGCACTTAATAAAACTTCTTCACCTGTTTTATTCCTTCCTTCTAAAATCTGTGTTTTAATTGAGAGGTTTTTTCTTTAAAAAAATACTTCTTTATATGCTTTTTGCCCTTCTGGATTATTCTTTTCTTTTTTTGACCAGTAAGTATTGAAATTAACTGATACTTAGTACACCTGATATGTATGAAATATTTTTGATAGCCACATTCTTACTAAAAGGAACAAAACTTATATTACCCTTGCTCAATGATATAACATTATGATTTTGATTCTGAAATCTAGCTTTCAACAGTATCATTACATATAACTAGCTTGTTAATTTTCATAAATATTATAAAGATCAAACCTTTGTATTATCAAGGTTTTATCAGATTTACATGGAAATGCTATAATTTAGATAATTGAAGCAGATCTTGATTTTGAATAAGTTGTTGTTTGGTTATAGGGTTAATACATGAATGAATGAATGAATAAATGAATAGTATTTATTAAACAAACTATCTGCCAAGCTCTAGAATGTAAATACAAGCAAGCAAACTAGTATCTGCCTTCATGGAGTTTATATTCTAGTAGAGGATCACAACACATACAGAGGAATTGTGGTGTGGTAAGAAATGTTTTGGGGGGGCAGAGCCAAGATGGCGGAGGGAAAGCAGTGACTTGCTAGAGCTCTCCCCCAAACCCCTCCAAATACCTATAAAAAATGGCTCTAAACAAATTCTAAAGCAGCAGAACCCACAGTAAAACAGAGTAAAACAAATTTCCAGCCCAAGACAACCTGGATGGCTGATGGGAAAGGTATATCGCACTGGGCTGGGAGAGGAGCGCAGTTCGGCGTGGGAACACAGGCCGCAGCAACCCTGGAGCAGGCCACAGAGGACTGAATTGCAGGCAGCTGTGGCAGTTTCCAGACTTCTCAACCCAGGAACACCAAAAACAACTTAGAAGGTCAGTGGGAAAAGTCTGTGGCTGTGGTGAGAGAAGGAGCCAGGTCAGCCGCAAGTCCCCAGTGTGGGCCACGGCTGCCTCCTGAGCTCCCGGCCCACAGGCTGAGGGGTAATCGCGTGGCTGATCAGAGGGGGATTCCAAGGATCTCTTTGCCAGGGCTGAGGCAGGAATCTCTTGCTTTGCCCGTGCTTAGATCTGGGTCACAGTTCTGAGGGGCAGTCCTGGGGCGAGGAGAAGTACTGGCAAGGAGGAGTGCTGGCGTGGTGGAGCTTGTTGTGGCGGTGGAGAGGAAACACCTTGCCCCTTATCATAGCACCTTGGAAGAACTGACACTTTTCAGGTCCCTAGAAGTATCTCTGAAAACAGCTGTTCAAACCCCCAAAGCTTGGGACAGTACATTCTCCACATTGGAAACAGACTCTTACCTTAACAAAGAGTTTAAAACTCAAGTAATTGGTTGGGATCATGAGCAAGTAGCACAAAAAGAGTCTGACTGTATTATCTTACTTTGGTGACAAAGAAGATCAAAACATACAACCAGAAGAAGAAAACAAAGTCAAAGCTCCTACATCCAAAACTTCCAAGAAAAATATGAATCAGTCCCAGGCCTTGGAAGAGCTCAAAAGGGATTTTGAGAAGCAAGTAAGAGAAGTAGAGGAAAAACTAGGAAGAGAAATGAGAGTGATGCAAGAAAATCATGAAAAGCAAGTTAACAGCTTGCTAAAGGAGACCCAAAAAAATACTGAAGAAAATAAGATCTTAAAAAATAGCCTAACCCAAATGGCAAAAGAGGTTCAAAAAGCCAATGAAGAGAAGAATGCCCTAAAGAGCAAAATTGGACAAATGGAAAAGGAAGTCCAAAAAATTACTGAAGAAAATACTTCCTTAAAAATTAGAATAGAGCAATTGGAAGCTAGTGACTTTATGAGAAATCAAGACACTGTAAAACAAATCCAAAAGAATGAAAAATTAGAAAACAACGTGAAATATCTCATTGGAGAAACAACTGACCTGGAAAATAGATCCAGGAGACAGAATTTTAAAATTATTGGACTATCTGAAAGCCATGATCAAAAAAAGAACCTCGACATCATCTTTCAAGAAATGATCAAGGAAAACTGCCCTGATATTTTAGAACCAGAGGGCAAAATAGAAATTGAAAGAATCCACTGATCTCCTTCTGAAAGAGATCCCCAAAGGAAAACTGCTAGGAATATTGTAGCCAAATTCCAGAGTTCCCAGGTCAAGGAGAAAATATTGCAAGCAGCCAGAAAGAAACAATTCAAGTATTGTGGAAACACAATCAGGATAACAGAAGATTTAGCAGCTTCTACATTAAAGAACCTCAGGGCATGGAATATAATATTCCAGAGGGCAAAGGAGATAGGATTACAACCAAGAATCACCTACCCAGCAAAACTGAGTATAATCCTTCAGGGGAAAAAATGGTCATTCAATGAAATAGAGGACTTTCAAGCATTCTTGATGGAAAGATCAGAGCTGAATAGAAAATTTGACTTTCCAATACAAGACTCAAGTGGAACATGAAGAGGTAAACAGGAAAGAGAAATCATAAGAGACTTATTAAGGTTGAACTGTTTACATTCCTGCATGGAAAGATGATATTTGTAACTCATGAAACCTTTGTCAGTATTGGGGTAGTTGGAGGGAAAAAATATATGTATGTATGTAGATAGATAGATAGATAGATAGATAGTTGGGGGGGCACGGGATGAGTTGAAGATGAAGGGGTCATATCTGGAGAATAGAATTAAGAGGTGAGAGAGGATTATACTAAGAGAAGGAGAAAGGGAAAGGTAGAACGGGGTAAATTATCTCACAAAAG